TGAGCTTAATGCATGAGAGATGCTGTGGTCCTAACAGGATGAATTACAAAAAAAGGCCCTTGTGGGTTTTTTTCACTGGGAGAAATTAAACTTGAGTCTAGTTTCCTTCTCTCTTAATACTGTCAACATATCTTGTCTGTCTACTTTTCTTTTGCTTACTACAACTGACCTGCTAGTCCTCCCAGAAGACATGGCATGACATTTTAGTCCATGTCTTTTTTTTTGTACATTGAACAGAAAATGTAAAACTGTTGCACATCTGCAGATTATTTATCCATGCAGGCCTAATTGGTGCAGGGATTAGCAAAACATGTTTTGCCTGCCAATCTCTAATCAAGAAGACAGATTCACTGGCACAGTGGTGGCTTTGCTGTGCTCCAAGGAGGTGATACTCACTCTGCTGAAAATCAGAAGCAATTTAGCCAAATTCAATTTGCAGTTACAGACCTTGCAAGGTCAAAGTAAGAAGCACAGTCGACAAAGAAATAATATTACCCTCTAAGAGCAACAGCAGATCCAAATCTGGTTTGGAGGAAGAGGCTCCAGTATGAGCACTGAAACAATGAAAAAACTCTATCAAAAGTTAACAGTCTGGAAAGGAGAAATAACTGTCTTGTGCAAAGTATTCCCTTAGGATGTGTATTACTCCCAGAAATTTTCTACTTTACTGCAGATTTTCCAAATATGTAAGCCATTTTTCAATGGCTTACAAGCTTTTTTGGCATAGGTTTGTTTTGCAGGGAGTATCAAGAGACCAAACCCCTGGCCTGGGGCAACACACTGTGTGTACTTTTTCTTGTTTTTTGTCTATCTTTTCTCTTCATAGGTGGGATTTGCTTTTTTTCAAAATAGGGGGGAAAAGCATTCATTCCAGTATTGGCAAGATTCTATAAATTCATTTGCACGAGGTTCAGAGAAGTGGGGAAACATCACAACTGCCTAGCAATGGTTAAAGCCACAACAGGCAGTGGAAGGTGAATAGTGTGAAATATATGATTGTTAACTCAGTGGGGAAAAAGTGGAGCTTTACTGTCATATTTCATTTGCAAGTTTTATTTGACTGCAACACCTGCTTTCAATATAATTAACTCTTACTTAGCATAGAATTTTGGCACTGATGACTTCTGATTTACATCACTGGGGATGCTTGATTCCAGTGGCACAGTTACTTTGCAAGTATTGTGCTGGAGACCTGCCTAATGGAGTAGAGCTAATTTGCCATTTGCTGGGTTAATCAAGATACCTACTAAAAAGAGTATGAACAAGATCTAGTACATGAAAGCTAAAGAAACAAGCAAACAATTTAGAGTTAAAACACAAACAAAAGATTGCTGTGCCTTAAGCTTTTCTGTAGTATCTTTTAACCCAGTTCCTGCAGTACCATAACAGGCTTCATGTAGTCTGAACTTGGATGTGGCACTTCTAGGTAGAAGTAAACTTTTCTGAATTGCTGCTATCACATTTCCCTTCCAGTCTTCTTCCTCTGATATTCCCTTCCAGTCATACACAATGCCTTGTATTTATGCTTTAAACCAATTGCTGTGATTACAATGGACCGACAGCTCATGATGGCAGAATTGAAGAAAATAAAGCAGGGAGATAATTTATCTCAAAATTACAGCATTACACCCTGCAATGCCAGAGCTCCTTGCTGTGTGCTGCCACCTTATCTGCACACAGCTCGGCACTTGCAGGGATTTACTCCTCACATAGATTATAGAGATTAGGGGGGACATCATGTCAGCAGAGGGGCTCTGCAGGACAGCTTCTCTACCAAAGAGAAGCCATGCTCAGCAACTGGGGATTCACAGGGCCAGGACACACACCTGAGCTTTGCATCTACATTCCCTGTAGCCTTTCTGGCTGTTATCCACACCCAAAGTCCCACTGTTCCATGGGCAAAGAAGGGTGTTCCCAGCAAGCAAAACTGTGTCATCAAGAGAGTACCAAAGCAGCTTCTGGGCTGAGGAGAAAGGTGAGAGCAGCAGGTGCAGGATTTCTGGTAATGTGACCAGGAATAGGTTTGGTCAGTCTAAGAGCACAATTTCTCTTTTAACACAGTGTGGATATGCCTATGTCTGTGCTGGGGCCAGAAATTAGTGGACAGCAGGAACAGGTGTGTTCAAATGTTCTGTAAAGATATTTAAGCTGAAGGTTGCTTTTTCTGGAGTCATCCCTGACTGTTTTGAGCTTACAGCAGAGGTTATACCACAGTCCTGCCTTGCTTCCCATAACTATTTATCTACCATTACTCACTGGAAACTCTCTTCATCAAACGCTTCCTGGTATGGCTTCACAAGCTGTGCTATAGCACCAAAAAAAAATCAGTTTTCCCATTAAGCAGTGGCAAACCTGGGGAGACAGTTACTTGTGAGAGGTTTATTGTATGCCACATACATTCTGGTGCACAAAATATGCCACATTCTCCCAGATGCTGCTCATACTTCACTGCAGATGCCAGGTCCAAAGCAGTCATATAACCCATCTGCAGGGGTGCCCCTGTTTGGAACAACAGGCTCACTGTGGATGTGGGTGCATGGCTGGCAGCATCCTCCATAGCCCTAGGAGTCCTCAGGGAGAAACTTCCCTACAGCTCTGTGCTGGGTAAGGAAATCTCTGCCATAAGGATGTCTCCTTTGAAAGCTGGAGCCAGCCTATGAAAAGTAACTCACACTTGGTGAAGGCAGCCAGATCAGCTAAAACAAAGCATTATTGTACAGGGCAAAGAGAGACTGCCAAAGTGGGCACTGCAGCTCAGGGTCATGATCCATGTCAGGGCAAGGCTGTCCTTTGGGGCAGCATGGCACTACACTGGATGCTTCAAGCATCCAGGCTGTGATATCATAGGAATCCAGTGGTATTTGCTAAACAAGAATCAGACCCACAAGACAGTAAAAGCACATGTTTCTACTGTATATGAAATAGTGATAGCCAATTCTATATGTGGGGAACAGATTTTTGGCAGGGGGAATTTTTTTTCCCTAGGATAAATCCCAACATAAATTCCATTTTTTTTTCCTTTAATTTCAGTACAGCCTTTCTTCTCTCATACTTGCTTCATGTCATTTAATTGTAACTGTGCCTGTGTTCCTTTGTTTTCAGAGCATGAGGCTGGCTGCCTATAACACCATAGCAGTGAAACCCTACATGGTGTCTTAGGAAGCAGGTTTAAGCCTCTAATGAAATTTGGGACTGGCTTTTTCAGTGTGCCTCTGCTTCCTTTTGCACTCCCTGTGTCCTCTGTGGCAAGTGGCTGGCACAGTCAATGCTGTGCAGGACTGAAGGCCAGACCTGAAGTGGGTACAGTGTTTGTGGAAGGGGAGAATGGATCCTGCTGAGCACAGGCAGCATCTGTCAGGGTTATGAGCATCCCTGAACAGCCCAGCACAGCTCCAGCAGGTGGTGTGGTTTGCAGTGCAGATGGGCAGCTCTTCCACTGATTCAGAGAGGCATTAACAGGTTTGGCAGGGAATAGGTTGCTGCCAGCAGGCAATCTTGCAGAGGACGAGGGACACTGAGCAACACAATGCAGAACCAGCAGCTCAAAGGAAAGTGTCCATGTACAGCAGCCAAAGTACAAGGTCATCACATCCAGAGATGGGCAAGTTCTGCATAGCTATGATTTGATACAAGGGACTGGCAGGCAACAAAAGCCAATCAACACAAAAAAAGTGTTTTCTCTACTTTGCAGTCTTGTACCTGCTGTAGCAGAGGGGCTACAGTTTGTGGATGCAGAGATCTGATGAGGCTCAAAGAACGGATGGGGGGTTTTTAGGTATTCATCTGGTACAGCCCTGTCTTCTGAGAAAGTGGAGCAAAACAATGCTTTCATCTGTGTCCAGATAATGATCTTTACATGCCCAGTCTCAGGAAACAAACAGCTTGAAATTCATGACAGCAATGAAAAACTATTTGTCCATCATTGTCAGCAGGAAATTTAATTCTGCTCAGGTTTTGTCAGAACACCCCAGTGAAGAACTTCAGGGCCCCGGGGAGTTTGCAGGTTTGAAAGTGAGCAATGGCAGTGCGGGTCAGGGTACTTATGCTGGCTGCCTCACATACACCTTGCAGGCTGCTGGGCACAGCCCCAGCCCCTAGGCTGATTCATTCCTTCTTTGTGCTACTGAATTTCCATGCAGCTGGCAGTTTCCAGCTCTGCTGCCAGGGTGCAGGCAGGTTTCCTCCCCAACCCTGCAGCCCCATGCCAGCCCTGCCAGCAGGGCCAAGCTGCCCCCGATCACCTCCTGTGTCTTGTTGCTACAGCTGGGACACAGACAAACTGCTGGTCCTGCTCTCTTTGTGCCAGGGCTGAGCCTGCTCAGGCTGCCTCCTGCCCAGGGATTCACAGCACCCGCAGCCTGGACTGCACACATGAGCTCCTGACTCCCACTGCTGCTCTCGCTGCTCCAGTGTGCCCCCAGGAGCTACCATGCCATGTGCTCATCTCAGGGGGAGCAGGCAGCTGTCTGCTGCCTCCACCTGCTTCTTCCCTGATGCTGCTGGAGATTTGAGCCAGGACCAACCCCTTGGGTAGAAAAACCCCAGACCGGGCTCCTGCAAGGCTTCTTCCAAGCCCCAAATAGCTGATCAGATAGGCACCAGCTTCCCATGGCTTCAGCAGGAGCGGGGCGCTAGGGGCTTTGCTGCCAACCCTGGGCCCTCAGCATCCTGGTGCCCACTGGGCTGAAGGGAGGAGGATGGCCCCACACCACCTCAAGATGCTCACTTTGAAGGGACTGGTGAGAAGAGTGAGATTTCAGTCACCTATCCCTTTGATTTTATTTTGCAGCCCCCTTCCGTGTTTGCAGCCCCTGCCTGTTTGTACCCTGTGCAGGTGCTGGCTGTTGCAGCAGAAGCTGAAACTTGGTTTATTTTCTCCTCTTTAAGGTGTGTGCCTCTCTTTCCCCAAAGGAAAAGAAGAGGAGCAAAAAAAAGCCATATATTTGCTGCAGACTGTGACTGGCTTATGTAATAACACTGCCTTTCTTTCCTTGTTTTAGGGAGTGCTGCCGATTTTTTGGAGACAATGGCTTGACTTTGAAGGTGTTTTTTACCAAGGCAGCACCCTTTGGTGTTCTTTGGACACTCACAAACTACCTTTACTTACATGCAATAAAGAAAATAAACACTACGGATGTCTCCGTGTTGTTCTGCTGCAACAAAGCTTTTGTGTTCTTGCTTTCATGGATCGTTCTGAGGGACAGGTTCATGGGAGTGAGGGTAAGTGACTCCTTATCTCTGTCTCCCCTCTTCCCCCTCACATTTGTGTCTTTCCTTTACCCCTTGCCTCCTGCCAGCTGAGTCAAGCAGTCCCCATGCAGAGAGCTGCTCATGAAGTCCTTGCAGAGCAGGGATGCAGCCTTCCCTGCAGCCTTCCCTGCAGCCTTCCCTGCAGCCTTCCCAGGTGCCTGTGAGCTCCTGGAGCCCCTGGCTCCCCCAGCACAATGCCTTGGTGCATATTCCTTCAGGAAAGAGGTGACTTGCTTCCGAGTGTGTCACAAAGGATATGTGCTATCTCCCTACTGCTGTGGATGTGTGTCAGCCCTTGCCAGTGCCTTCCAAGGGACAATTCCCAGGCTGCCACCAGATCTGGTTGTTTCTAACTGCGCATTCTCGCAAGCCCTGGCCACACAACAATTCACTTCTGGTTCCATCCTGGGAATTCGACACCTTCCTACGTGTGACAGCAGGGTGGGACAGCTGTCTTCTGCAACCATGTCAGGTAGCAGCAGCTGCAGACAGGAGAGGAGAGCTGGGCTGCCCTCGCCCACCTGTGTCCAAAATGCGTGTCTGCACGTCTCACTGATGGAAGACTGGCGTCTACAGGGACTTGCATTTGGCCAGCAGCTGTAGGCTGGTCTTCTGGTGCCATCCCAAATGTTTGCTTGCACCTTTAGTTCTGCACCCCACGCGAATGCCTCTGCAGCAGCAGCAACAGAGCCACGTGCAGAGGGTTTATCAGGAAACCCCTCAGCTCCCTGCTGACCCTGCTGCCATTCTAGCAGCCCTCAGCACATCACGTCCTTTGGCAGCAGAGTGGTGGGTGGGTAACCCACCACCCTAGGGCCAAGGGGCTCCTGCCAGAGCCAGGAGAAATGGCAAGGAAAAAGCACCAGTGGGTCCCTCTTTCCTTGCTTCACCAATTAATATTAATTAATATTCAAGATCAACAGCAATAACTGTAGTTATTCCTGTCTCCTAGCCACTACTTGAGGAGCTCTCAGCTCACCCACCCAGGCTGGTAGTGCTAAAAAAGATGTTGCATGGAGTAGCTGAGAGTTAACTTTTCAAGATGTATTCCTCTCTGGCAGGAGAATTTGGCAGGAGAGCTTGGCCAGCCTTTCAGTGGTGGCAGCCAAGAGGCTGTTCAGGGGATGGTTGCAAAATGTACCTGCCAAAAGCTCAGCATGGCCAGCAGGTGTCTTCCCACCCCTCTGCCCAAGTAGCCCTACCCTAAAAACAAATTAACTGTGATTTTTGAGTGCAGAAGCAAGGGTATCCTGAAATGATCCTGGAGCTAGGGAAGTCTCATAGTTATCAGAGCTGGATGTGCTTGCCATTTTGATAAATGAAAATAAAAAAAAAGGTGGTTTTGTGTCTTCATCTCTCTTTGGCACTGCCAACTGTAGCACTGGTGGGACACCAGGAGAGATGGTATATGGAGGGGTGAGCACTGTGGTCTGCACCTGCAGCTTGCTCCTCAGTCTGAATGTGCCATCTCCCACCGTGGGATATGGCTGTGGTGTGGAGGGAAAGAAGCCAACCTGTGTGTGTAGGGATACCCACATGGGCACTTACATGCTGGACTAGAGATGCTTCTTGGGCTCTCCCAAGTGCATGGCTCTGATGGAAGAGCCAGGATGGTCAGGGACTTTCCAGCAGCTTCTTGGGAAGGCTGTCTTGTGCCATGGCAGGGGACATGCACTGGGGGATGAATCCTGTTCTGTATGCCTCCCTTCTCAAAGGGGCAGAAGGAGTGGAAGGAGCAGAGAAGCAGACCCAGGTACTGGTCCCGGCCATGTACAGCTGTCTTTTGTTTCCCATCTGCACTACTTTGGGAAAGCAGCAATGAAGCACGGAAGCAGAACAGGGGCCAGAGCAGTGGTGGCTGTGTGATACTCCTGCCGTGTGTTCCCGTCCCTCCCTGTGGAATCTGGTACTGGTGAGATTGTGGAAGGGGACCTTCCCAAGAAGGAACCCAGCTATCTCCTGAATCCAAGAAGGAACACAGTTGTCTCCTTCCCAGGTGACAGGCCAGCAAGGGACCTGGATGCAGGGAGAAGGGGTTTACAGACAGACTGGGCTATTTGCTTTTAAGGCTTGTGGCAATATGAGAGTGAGGAGGCATTTGTCCTTGGAGATTGGAAGGACATATGGCAGCAGAGCAGTTCTACCACCCAGATTTGTGTGGCATAGTGGGAGTGCCGGGGCACTCCTGTCTGCAGAGGTCATAGCATGGAATCTTTGGAGAGAATAATTTTCTTCCCTCTTTCCTCTGTTTTCTGTACAGTCCATGTGAAAAGCAACAGGCAGAAAGAGTGTCACTGCTGGGGGATATCCTCAGGATGACCTCAATACACTGCCTTCTTCCTGGGACTGGCAGCCAGAAGGAAAGAGCTGCTAGGAATTCTCTGGGAGCGACCTAGGGGCTGCAGCCACCACACAACCCAGCCCCAAAGCACGTGGTGCCTCGGGGGCACACTGTGTCAGAGCTTCTGACCCTCTTAGAAGCACCCTTTGAGAGGGTATTTGGCAGACAAGGGTACAAGGGGGAGAGTGCCTTCCCACACTCCTACTCCGACCAGTGCCCCAGGATGGAAAGTGCCACAGCAAACTGACTGTACATTTGAGTGTCCCTGTTCATGCCTACTGACAGAGGCAAGGTGAGAAAGGCAGCCACTCACTGGGGTTAAAGCAAGTACAATTATCCTACTTTGCCTTCAGAAGTGCAACTACTAGCTCTCTAAGCACATAAATCACAATTTAGCTGGAATATAAGTGTAAGAGCAATTACAAGTTCCCATTCTTGCTGTTCAGGTACTTTTAAGTGCCTTCATTTTCCCTAATGAAGTTGAGCTTTCCCCCCTTGCCCTTCACTGTGCCCAGAGAACAACTGGCTGGGCTGTGGGCTGTTAAAGACAGATAATGAAGCTGTGAGTGCCTGAAGCACTGCTCTGCAAACCCTGCAGCGCTGTGACATCTGCGGGCACTGTGGTGTGCGAGCAGCCTGTCACCGCCACTAACAACGCACTTGATGGAAAGGCTGAAAGGCTTTCAGAGAACGTGTCTGGGACATCCCTGGCACGTCAGCAGGACACTGTGAAGCGAGGCCAAGGTTCATCTGACACTTGTGACATGCCTGATGGAAGAGGCAAGCAAGAACCTCTGCCCCTGCACAACTGTTTACAGGCCGCATTTATTTGCTTTGATCTTTGACTTCGGTGTTTCCCTCCATGCTACAGTGAATCAAACAGCTCAGGATCCAAGAGAGCCATCACCTGCAAGTGCCTCCAGACACGCACATCTGCCTGTGGGACTTGGAAATACATATCCTATCAAATCTCAAACTGTAGAAACACAGTCTCTTGGGAGGTGCTCTGAAGCTGATCAGCTCCTGATGTTAGCTGGAGACTTTTCATTCTGCAGTTCATGCATGCACCTCCCAGGTTTCCAGTGCAGAGGTATTACAGCTGCCTGCGGGGGTTGAGGCAGGCTTCCTCCACCCACACAACTGGAGGTGCCAGCTGGGTGCCACAGCCTGGAATGTGGCTGTGGTTCTCCTCAGCCCTCCAGTGAAGACTGGAAGATGCTACGGGAAATCCTGCATCTTCCATTCTTTGTCAACTCATCTGTAACACAGGTGATGTTGAAGGAAGGTACAGACTTACCATCTTTCAGCCAAGCCTGAGCCATGTACCTTTCAGCTCTCCCAAGAGCCATAGTGAATCAGAGAAAAGGTTCCTCTGCCCCCAGCTGCCTGCAACAGCTGCCTGTAGTAGACACCTAGAAAAATCTGTCTAAATAGGAAAAGCCTGTAATGATATTTCCTCATGAGACTTTCCAGCCTCCAACAATTTGAGGCTCAAGGACTTCCTGAGATGGAAGCAGTGTTTCTATAGCTAATAGTCATTGATGGAATTTTTTTCTTCCATGAGTTTATCCTTGTAAACTTTTCACATCCACAGGGTGCAACAGCAAAGCTTTCCTTCACTTAATTATGTGTTGGGTGAAGGCAAATCTCTTTTTCCTTGTTCTGCACCTGCCTGAGACCATGCTAGTCTCATGCAATGACCTTTTTTTCTTGTGCTTTTGAAGCCACACAGAGTGTCTAAATTTTTATTTGACAAGCACCAGCACACTGGTGAGAGAACTGCTCCACACTTCTGTAGAGCCATGCAGGGGTGGGGGTCTCTCTCCTTGCCTTAAGAAGAAGCCTGTCCTGGACCATAGGGCCCAGTTACACCACCACAAAACTTCACTTTAGAAATTATGTCCCACAGCTGTGCATGGAGAGACCAGATGCCAACAGGGCTGCAAGTCAAGATGCTGTATCTAAACCTCTCCAAATGTGCAGTGTGTATACCCAACCTTTGCAGTTAGTTCTGGGCTCCACCCTAATCAAGTCATAAATCAGTATTCTGCCTTATGCCACCCTGCCATTATACCTGTGGAGAAATTGATACGGTTTTGTTTGCAAAAATTGGCCATTTTTGTGTTAGGGGAAATAGAAGGTGTTGATGTCAGTGTGAGGGAAGGATCTGCTGGATGATTATGTGGTGTATGGGTGTCCCCTGGCACCAGCCCCAGCTCAGCCCAGGGAAGAGGCTGCTGGTGCTGCTGGGGTTGGGACCTGCAGCTGGTAAAGAGGCTACCTCACCACATCTTGCTGATCAGGCAGCAGCAGAGTTTGGCACACAGACTTTCCCCCTGCATCTTCACAGCAGCCCCGGTATCTCTGGTGGGAAGCAGGAAAGATGAGAGGAAGCTCACGGATGTGTAGGCAGCTGCAGCCTACACATGGATGGGGCTCAAAACCCCTGTCTGGTCCTGTGAGAGGGTACAGCTGGCTGGCACTTACCCATCTGTGGATCAAAATAAACTATCTCAGTCATCTTGGAGGCATCACCTTGAGTGTGAAGCCAAAAGGCATGTGGTATAAGCAGGGCAACCCTCACAGCCCTGCAGAGCCAGGAAACATGAGCATACAGAAAGGCCTGTTCACCCCAGAATAAACACCCTGGGAGGCTGAAGGTATCTGGCAGGAGAGTCCCAGAGAAGCCAGGGTTCCTTGCACACCCTGGTAAATCGGGGCAGTGCGTCCCCTGCCTTTGTGAATGTTTCTTCTGTTTGGGAGACACCCCTCAGGCATTGCAGTGTGCATAGCTGGCTGGAAAAAAACCTCCTCCTACTCTCTACTCATCTAGACTGGAAAGCAGTTGCATGAATTTTATTCCCCTGTTTATTTCTATAACCTTTTCCCTCCAAAACTTCAACAGGACTTGAAGCCTTTTCTCAAGCTCCAGGGAATTGATATTTGTGTATTATTGTCATGCACAGGCTGCAGGGACCCACTGATGGGCAAGCTCAGTGACAGAGATTAAATCCCCACTTCAGCTCAGTCGGAGGCACTGAGCCCTGCAGTCCAGCACACGCCCGGAGCAGCCACTCCTTTGCAGCTCTGCCTGCAGCTTCCCTGCAGCCAGAGAAACCACGAGGGCAGGCAGCATCTTCTCCCTGGGTGTTGGCCCAGGCTTGCTACTATTTTCTACATAAGCAGATGATGCAGAAGTACTGCACTCGCATGTAAATCTGGCTGCCTGTTTCTCCATCGTGGGGGCTGTCTAGTAACACTTTCTTGCTTTCTGTCTTTGTCTCCAACCAGATCGTGGCTGCTATATTTGCTATTGCAGGGATAGTTATGATGACGTACGCCGATGGGTTCCACAGCCACTCTGTTATTGGGATAGCCCTGGTGGTGGGCTCTGCCTCAATGTCTGCTCTCTACAAGGTAAGCACACCTGGCTCTTTCCCCCTGTCATCCTTGTCACTCATTTTTGGCTGTTCCTGTCTTACTTGCAAACCTCTGCGCAGTTCAGTGCCATGTGCCGTTCTTTGAGAGCTCTGCCATGAACACACTGGCTCTGCAGCACTGTATTCAGGTGTTCCCTTGCTTTGATGTCTGCTCTCTCTTAGGATAAAAACGCCTATTTCCTTGGAATAGTCTTCTCCAGTGCTCCTCCACCGGGTGAGGATTTACAGATGTCCCACCTTCATGAAGAATGAGGCCACTTTTCCATAGATTCTGGATTCAAGCACTCATTCTGGAAGCACCTTGCAGATATTTAGCTTCTTTGAGTCACTTTGATACTTCCACTTGCCAGACCTCCTTCAGTAACATATGTAGCCTGTGTTGGTCTTAAAGCATTGCTTATCATGGAAGCAATCACATCCTTAAAATGCAAAGCAGGTGCCTATGAATCAAGACCTCATCCTGAGCAGCTGGATAAGCTGCACTATGTGTAAGATGCAGCCTTCTCTGCTGAGCAGAGACATTTCACTCAGCCTGATACACTTCTGAGCACTTGCCTCTGTGCTGCTCATAGTGCTCAGTCACAGTCCACAGTGAGGAATAAGCATTTGTAGAGCGTGGTTTGCCCACCCTGACTCGGATGTGTAGATTAGGAGGAGGAGTAGACAGCTTCATTTGATCTAATGAATTGCACTGTACCCGTCATCCAACAGGAACTGGCCAGGAGAGCCCTACAGCCCTAACACCAGCAGTCCAGGGAAACTTGCTAAACTGAGAAGCATCTGCCTGTACCCCTCAGTGCAGTGCTGTGATGCTTTTTGCTCACTTTTTCAGATCAGACAGTATCTTACATTAGAAAGGTCATGAAGTTTCATACAGTTCATTCCTCTAATAGAGCCTTTCCTTGCAGGACCAGAGACATGGCCCACCATACCAGAAAAAATTAAAGAATAGAGCCTAGCTGTGTTCCCTTTTCCATGGCACTGCTACTCTTTCTGGGCATGGGAATCTCAGGGCTGCTCCACCAGAGCCCGTGCACAGGAGGGTGGTGGTGGCAGTGCCAGCAGGGTGTTATTCTGCAGTGTGGTCTGCATGCCAGGACAGATGAAGCTCTGCAGCTTGTTGTGCAACACATGCTGCTGCCACTGCTGCTGCCACTCTGCTCTTGCTTTCCACAGTCTGGCTCAGTTCCCATGAGTTGTGTGTGCCAAAGGAGCAGGCAGATCTACAGGCAGACAGATCTCACCACGTGCAGCAGAGCCACTGCATATCTGGGGTAGGAGGATAAGCTGAGGTGGCCCTGATGGGGGCAACACAACACACCATCCTCAGGTGGCAAATGAGGAGTAAGTGGCTTTCAGGACATTTTGCTCTGTATTGCAGAGCAGCAACACAGCTGCACTGGCCAGTGATGGGAGGGTGGGAGTGGGCAGAGCCCTGCTAGCATGGCAGTCCTGCTCATTTGCCTGCTCTGTGTAGGCAAAGGAGAGAACTGACACTGGTGAGGGGGACTGCCAGTGCAGCACAAACCACTAAGTCACAGTCCATTGGCTGTCCTCGTCTCCAGCCAGTAGCAGAGGAAAACTGTTCCCAGACCATGGTATCCAACAGAATCTCTGCAGCTCTGTGGTGAAAACCGATGCAGGCTCCAGATAAGACCTGTCTTTTACATATATATGGCAGTCCCCAGCCACAGATGGGCTGCTCACATCCTTCATTTCTACTGTCTTTTTTTCCTTCTCCCACTAACAAACGAAAACTTTTAAATGCCTCCCTGCAGTCTCATTGCCCAGGCTGCATCTGCACTCTGGGCTGTGGAGCTGCTGCTCTGCTGTCTGCCTCCTGGAGATGAGTTCCCAGGGAGAAGGTGGAAGGACAGCCAGTCAGCATGGACTGTGCCTGCCCACCACCACAGCACTTCTCAGGAGACAGCCAAAGGCCTGGACCAGTGATGTCTCATGCAGGGAGATTCTTGATCTAGATTGCTTTGTCTCCTCCCCATGCCCTGCTTCACAACCTTCTTAATGTCAAATTACCTGGAGGTGCAGAAATAAGACTGAAGGATCTAAGCTAGGGTTGAAGGGTCTAAGTTATGGTTAGTGATCTTTCCTTTCAGGTCATGAACAGATAAAGGTGCTGAATCCCCTTTCTGCATGGACTGAGTTGGCAGCTGCCCCTGCCTGTGTTCCAGGGGGTGGCAGGAGGGTAAAGGCTGGGCCACACAAGCTGCTCACCACAGTTCCACAAGCAGCCATCCCACGCATCTGGCAAGCATCACTGCATAGGTGCCAGAACAGAACACCAGCCTTCCAGGGAGGGTGGTGCAAGAGAGTTAAACCCATGTATTTTCCTCTTTTAGGTTTTATTCAAACTTCTTTTGGGCAGTGCTAAATTTGGAGAAGCTGCCTTATTCCTGTCTGTGTTAGCTGTCTTCAACGTCCTCTTCGTTACCTGTATTCCTGTCATCCTTTATTTTACCAAAGTGGAGTACTGGAGCTCTTTTGACATCATTCCTTGGGGGAACCTCTGCGGATTTTCAATTCTCTTATTGAGTGAGTAGATGGGGGGGGGCTCTCACACTGCTGGGGTTGGAGGAGGGTGCCAGAAACTGACCACTGGTGGAAACTGCAAGCCTCTCCTGTACTGGAGCTGTTTTCCCTCCTCAACTTAATTATTAACTTGAGATCCTATGAGAGGGCCCATTTCTAGGGCCAATTTTAACCTGGTTTCTGTTGTTATTACCACACCAAAACACAGTGTCTCTCTTTAGAAGGGACTGTGGAACTAAATGGTAAAGCTTGTTCTAACTCCTACTCATGAACTCTGTGTAACAGAGACAGGTAACACTTGCCCAGGCTGTGATGGAAGTAGCCCTGCTGGGAGAACGTTACCTGGGGCTCATCAGCATCCCCACAGCAAGGAGGTTAGGCCAGGCCTGTCAAGGCCAGACTCCAGTGCCTCTGCTGCCTGCAGTAGTAGCTGATTGCTACTCCTAAAGAGGAGTAATCACTACTCCTAAAGAGGAGGAAACTTTTGAAAATTTAATATTGCACAGTGATGGAAATTTTGATAGGTAGCAATCCTCTCTTCTGCTGCCACTGCTGTGTCACCAAAGGAGCCCAGAGGGGAGGGATGCTAAGTTTTAAAGGTTACCAGAAAAATTATGTTGTCCATTGTTAAACCAGATGTGTTGACTTGCTGCCACAGTTGGTCTCTACATTGGATGATGGAATCCCCTCTCCTAAAACATTAATTTCCACATTAAATATCTTTTATCTACCCCTGTCTTGAGTGCCAGCTTCTTTTACCCTGAACAATCACAACTCCAGAAATAGCTCCAGGTTACTTATCAGTGGACTCAGAGGAAGTTGGCTGTAAGAAAGTGGTGCAGAACTTGGCAAGCAATCCCTGGCGTGTGTAATACATAGGTACTTCTGGAAGACAGTCAAAGCTCCAGCTCCCAACAAGCTCAGTATTGGCAAGGCTCTGCTAAAGCTGATCACCTTAAAACAACGGTGAATTTGATCCAAAGCAATTATTAATTTGTCATGAAACACCTCACAAACTGTGTATGGTATTACAGTGGAGTGATATTATAATCATTCCATAGTAATGATAGTATAATTTCATTGTATGAAATTATATTTAGTAAGTTCCTGCCTGGAAGAGGGTTAGATTTATAGCATCTTCCACCTGCAACTGGAGGCAGCTTTTCTACAAAAATGCACCCAGACAGAAGCTCCTGTTCAGCTGAACTCTCCCAGATGAAGAGTGTTAAGTCTTTCAGCAGGGCCAGGGGGATCACTGGATCAGTATAAAGAGTAGGAATTACTGGATATGATGCTGAGAGACAGGCTGTACCCAAAAGCCACCCTGATCCTGCCACTGGACTCCAGAGGGATACAGAGCTCCCCAGAAACAGCAGTGTCTCAGGCAGGTGAACATGCAGCAGACAGAACTTTGTCCTCTGGTATCTTCAGGGAAAACAACAGAAGCTGATGTACGCTTTATTTGAACAACAAATAAAGTAGTAAAGCATAAGAGTTTAAAGTGACATTCTTTCTGCCTAATTTCACTGTACTAAAAGACATTTTTCTTTCCTTCATCAGCATTCAATATTCTACTAAATTTTGGGATTGCTATTACCTACCCCACCTTGATTTCTCTTGGAATTGTATTGAGTGTCCCAGTGAATGCAGGTAAGATTTTTTGTCTTTCACGTCTTAATTAATACATTAAATCTGTGGCCTTTCAAATATGCAAGGCTAAAAGAAAATAGATTTATTAAACATGCTTTGCACCTTCTCTCAAAGACTTACAGAGATAATACTGATTAAAAATTTATTCTTTATGCATGAAATATGTATTGTATAATATAACATGAATATTCATAATCCCTAAAATTGTTTTTTAAATTACTGTCTGAAGAAGCCTGCATACTGAAAAACAAATTAGATTTGAAGACATTCTTCTCTGGGCTGGAATAAAAACCCATGGATAAAGCAAAATCAGTTCTTAATGATGTCTTCAAGGCAGGCTTAACACTAAATTCAGATAAATATAATTGCTTACATTTTAGAGCAGATATGTAATAGTAACTCTGCTTGCCTTGGTAAATAACACTGCGGGTGTTTATCAAGAACACCAGACAATTTCAATTTTGGACAAGGCCTGGTACATTTCTCTGACAGTTCTTCTGAAATTTAGTGAAAGCCAAGAGACTGCAGAGTCTGAGAGGGCTGGGCAGGGGAGTGCAGACACTCCCAACCTAAAGCAGCTCCCAAACCCCAGCACGCTCAGCTGGTGTCACCGTGCAGGTGGCAGCTGCCAGCTTCATGCTCACTAAGTGCACACAGAGCTGGGCACTGCTCTGGCAGATTTGGCTACCAAAAGGTGTGATCCCTCCAGAGTGCATGGGTGGCTCAGCCTGGGAAGGGTTTCTTACTTCACAGGGCACTCAGGGGGACAAGAAAAATCTGCAATCAGGAGGTGCTGTGCAGGGAAGGGAAATGGAAATGCCCCTTTCTCTGAGTCCCTGCATCTCAGCAGGAGTTCCTGTGCTGTTGGTGAGCAAACCCTGCTATGTGCTCAACCAACAGGAAACAGTGCCCTTGCCATCATTGTCTCCATGGTCATGTTCTCCTGGCACAGCCAGTCCTCAGAGCTGGGGAGGTGAAGGGGAGGGAAGGGGATACTATCCTAATGCCCTTTCCCATGTAATAACACCTGTTCAATGTCCCACACAGTTGTTGATCACTACACGAGTGAAATTGTCTTCAACAGTGTCCGAGTAATTGCCATCATCATTATTGGCCTGGGCTTCCTTCTGTTGCTCTTGCCAGAGGAATGGGACGTCTGGGTAATAAAGCTCCTCACACGTCTCAAAGTCCGGAAGAAGGAAGAAATTCCTGAAGGGAATGGAGACATTGCTTCAGGACTGCCTAATAAAAGCCGGAGAACTCGCCCTTCCATGTCATCCTTTGCTCATTAAATGCTCTTTTTACCAAAACTTTGTGGTTAACGTTATATATGATGATGCAAAGGTCTTTTCTTGGGAAGAAGCACACCTGTCCAACATGGTGTACATACCTGTACAGTTTTGATATGATCACCATCTAAAGCATCAAGTCTTGGCATGTCCAGTTTGCTTGTTCTTTTTTCACATCTGACCTTTCACTTAAGTAGTACACTGAAAAAAACTGCAAACCAAGAACCTCTCTTCTCTTTTTAAATGAATGTAATATATAGTCAAAATATATTTGCATAGGTTATTTTAAAGAATGACTTTCATGAAAAGCAGGGCAGACATTTTGAACATTAGATACTGAATGATGCATTGCACACTGTGATTTAAAAGAAACAAATGCTATGCTACATCACATGTTTATTTTTGACCAGAGCTGTACTTTGAAAGTTTTCAAGGAGCAAAAAAAAAGGGAATCTTTTTGGGGATGGGAAGATGGGGGGAAGAGTGGAAGGAAGATTTAGAAATCACTCTATGTAGATGAGCGCATGTTGCGCTGCAAACAGGGAAAATTCAAGCGCAAAAAATGCTTGCACTAAAGCATAGAGAGAAAGCAGTCTAGAGTCCAAATCTCCTTATTCTGCAAATGACTGTAGTCCACGTTTAAAATCATGCAAGAGAAAACCAGTGCCTTCTACAGAACTCTTGTCGTTATCCACGCAGAACCAGGTCCTGCTGCGAGGCACTTGCAAAGGCAGGGCTCAGGTTTGTGGCCCCAAAGGACCCCAAATTCCCAACGACACCAGGACGTGCCTCCCATGCACGCCGTGGCTTCTGCGGGAGCGTGGGGCCCAGGGCACTGCAAGTTCGAGCGCAGGAGACCTGGTTCTCTTCTCACTTCACAGGTTTTACCCCTGTGTGGAGCTGCGCTTGATTAATGCCAATGTGAGGAAGGGGAAATCTTGGTCACGTGTGGGACAATCTGACGGGAAATGATCCAAGGGGCTGGCAAGAGCGTGGTTGCTGATGTACAGTCTGAGAGCATGGACTAAGGGGGTGAATCACCAGTTGCTTTTACTCCATAATTGTGAGTGTTAAGAGTTAAAAATGTAAGATATTTACATCAAATGTAACACTTTTTATGAAACTTGTAAGCACCAGGATGTTTACTTATGCGATTTTGGTTCGCCATTAAATTTCTATCTGTGATAGATCACATGCTATGTAAAAAGGGGGGGGAAAAAGGTTATAGTTTACTATTTTTGAAGTTTACATTGTTGCATACAAAATTAAAAGTGTTCTTTTGAACTGCTGCCATAGCCTAAGGTCCCTGCTGCCACTGAGGTCCTCTTTGTCTCAGGCAGGGGTGGCATCCACTTCAAAACATTTTAGCAAATCACCTTCAGATTCCATTATCTGTTTGGCAAAGCTAAATAATAAAAGATTTTAAACTCAGCCTCAGTCAATGCTATCCTTTTCCTTCTCTTGATTGAATCTTTATGGCAGTTCTCCTGTGGGTAGTATTTGGCCAAAGTGATCAGAAGGGAGAGACACGATCATCAAAGCAACCGAGGCTGCATCTCACGGCAGTGCTAGCCCATCTGTCCAAGACAGCGAAGTCTGCTCTACACTCCCTGGACAAAGCCATCTAGAGGGATGCTGTTAGGCATCAGTCAGGAAACAGACATCCAGCAGAAGCAGACCAAAGGAAAAATTGATCTTTGAATGCATCAGTGAGCAGCCATAGGTGCATATGCTAACAGGTACTTAGGGCTGTGTGTGGGACATGAATTTGTACATTAATAACCAGTCCCCAGTCCAGGCTGTAGGCTTGTCCCCACCATTCTGCTTGACAACCAGACATTAAAGACTTGCTAACAGAGATTACACCCCTGAATTTTATATCTATTTTTTTGGGAAGAGGAGGGTAAAGACACAAGACAGGAGCACAGGTACAACTCCAATAATTGCATTGAAGGGCACACATAGATACTTGACATCAAAACTCCCAGATTCAAGTTTATTCCATCTTCAGCCAAATAATTTTGTCATCCTTGAGGATGTCATCCTCCCCAAGCCTCTCTGAGCCAGAGAAGAATATATAAGCAGTTCTTTCATTTTCCATAGTCCCAGAAAGTGGCATCTTCTGTGATCTCCACACTTCATTTTGTTGTATGTTTGATGCAGTCTGTAAGTATTCAAAAGGCTCCAAATGCCCTTTTAAAAACTGCAACTAACATGTGTTTTTAAACAAAAGGGAAGCAGGTTTTTAAGCATTCAGTATGGATTGTGGGGGAATTTATGCACCAGAATGGATAGCAGCATTAGTAAAACTGTCATTTACTAAATGCAACTAAGTCATTGCTTCTGTTGGCTCATCCCTCCTGAGGACAGGCTAAACACATGCAAGGGCTGGGACTTCAAACAGCACTTCATGAACCATGTCTCTTCTGAGTGGGAACTGTGCATACTAGATCTCCTCACATGAAGCAATTCAGAGCTAGCCATGTTAACCTGATGAAATGCCCTACATTTCCTCAGTCAACACCTTGCCCTAAGTATAAACACCTGACTTGACAGTAAGCCACTGGGTAGAAAAACCTTCCAGACAGTGAAGTCCAGGATGTGATTAGGAGAACAAGAATGCAACATGTCCATGTGGTACAAGTGCATATCTCTTAAGTGCCAAAGCATCACAGGTCTGAAGCTGAGGAATGAAAAAAACTGGAGTTGTTGGCTTTCACCAGAAGGACAAGCCAGAGCAAACCCCTCTGAGAAGACATTAGATGTAACTGGGCCATCCTTCAGGCGAAGGCAGGATTGAAGTCCTGATCTGAGACTGTGAAAGGATGCCCAGGACAAATGCAGTGCCTTGGAGAGGAGGGCTGGGCTGTGGCAGACTCTCCTGCCTGCCCTCAGAGGCCAAAGCACAGTGTGCAATCCCTGCAGCAGTCTGTGAGTCAGACCCCGCACTGCCCTGCAGGGCCAGGACCTGCTCTGTACCTGCAGTACCTGCTCTGCAGCACAGAGCCACACAAGCCTGGAATTAGCACTTTTAGCCCACCATTGGCCACCTTGAACCTCCCCCTCAGGCAGAAGTGCAGGTCCCTCCAGCATGAGGCTTCTTCAGGTGTCCTTGAAGCTGGTCTCCTGCATCATCACTGTGCATCTCCTGCCCTGACAGAGCATTGCCAGCCACAAGTGTGCACCCTTGTTCAAGGGCTGATCTGGACTGGCAACTGTCTGCCCCAGCTTAGGCCTCAAAGTGTCCACTAGCAAGTGTCCAGTGGGCTTGTTATAACAGCAAATTGAGAAAAAAAAATCTCAGAAAAGCAAATAGCATCACCAGACCTCATTGCAGCTGCTGGATTTCACTGCTGCAGAATACAGCAGTGAGAAGGCACAGCAGTCCTCCTCCTGCCTTGTGTGCTTTTCTCCTTGTCCTGTTGCCTCCTGCTGCTACCTTTAAAATAATTTTTTATTGCAACTCTCCACAGTGACTGAATGATCCATTTATCAGCAAATGGATCAGAGATGAGCTTATTTTAAAAAGCTTTTCCTGATCTTCTGTCTAGAATGGCTGTATTCATATCAGTAGTCTTCAGAAAACAGCCATGAAGGGCAGAAATCCAACCACAGTAAGCAACAGATGAACAAAATATACTGAAACCAGTATGTAGCTTAACTGCTTTGGCAGCTCAGGCTAGACTAGCAGGACCTATAGATCACCAAATTCTGGGGCTTAATTGATGTTTCCTATGAACTCAGGAACAAATCTCTCATCCCCAGCTCTCCAGAGTGGTTTAAGACAAAACGAGTGCAATATTGAGCTGGCCAGAGTTACTAAAGATACCGTATCTTCACCTTAATGAGAAGGCAACATGACCAGGCTGACACAATTTCTGGTCAAAAACATGCCTGCTATGCTGTCTGCAGGCCCAAAAACAGAGAAGTGAAGGTTTCCCTGTGCAGTGGATGAACATGAAAGCCTAGATGGATTTGCATAGCTCTGGATCATATTCCAAATAAACTCACAAATGGGCACAACTGAAACACATGGAAACACTCTCCTCTTTACTGAGAAGGATGTAGATTCTCCAGCCCTTGAGAAGCCCTAGGAATAGCACCAGCCACCTTGCCTTGGCTGTGTGGGCTCAGACAGCAGCCTGGGACTGGGCATTTCTTCCAGGAAGCAGGAAAGAAAAGCAGCCAGAGATCATGCAGCTCACGTGAAGCAGAAGCACAGGAGGGCTGATGACAGAATAAGAAATAAATGCCTCTTGTGAAGCACCTTCCAGGGCAAGATGCCCACCTGCTCATTGCAATGACTCCAGTTTAAAGAAACGGAGTCTGCACATGCTGTAAAGCCACGAACTACAGCGAGTTCAGCTCCAGGTCCCCCGCTCGTACTGCAGGAAGGATGGAGCCTTCCAAGCCTCCAAACCTGAGCTACTCCTTGGTGAAGGCCAAGGATGAGAAGCTTCTTCCACAGTCCAGTCCTCAACCAAGCGCTCTCTGCAGAAACTGCCTTCCGAAATGGATTTTGATGGATGAGTTTAATTACCTCATAATAATTAGAAGCAATTAGATTCTCTTCTTTAGCTGACATGTTCTAGGGCATTTCCATAATAATCTGAACCTTATGCAGAAGGCCTGAACATTAAAAAGGAAGTAAGAAAAAAAAAAGATCCTAAGGATCTTATTATGACCTGTAGCCTAAAAATATTCTAAGGGAAATCTAAGACTTAAGGACAGGACTAGTAGCTCAAATTAATGTTTCTGAAAATAATAAACCTTATACTTTTCTACCTGAAACTCTGTTGGGGAGGGGGGGGGTCTTCATATATGCACAAGATCATTTTAAAGAAGGTGGCAACTAGTATCTATCCATGTACTTTACAGATATACTAGTATGCAAACAACCTCTCAGAAGTGAAGAGTGGAACTCCTAAGCAGAGTTACAGTTCTGGAAAAGGCTTAAACAAGGGAGGTTATGAAGCTCATATTAGCAATGTACTTAGGAGTCATATGCAATTTTTCTACAATGACCCAGAGACAGTTCTTTAATCCTGCTGCTGAAGCAGATGATCCCTGAGAATTTTCCAGCTCTTTATCCACAGGTTTCCCTCCTCTTCTAGATTCAGTCCCCCTAACACCTCAAGATAGCCATCAGTGCATTGATTGGGAACAACAGCAATCAACAAGCTATTTTGCTGTTTGGCTGCATGACAGTGACAGATCCCCTCTCAGTGTTGGTCTCTTCAATCAGTAAAAAAGTGTTATCAGTAAAGGGTTTTCTTGACCAATCATTTGACCAATCAGTGACCAAGAAGACTGGCCTCAGGACAGCTCCTTTGGTAATCTCTCTCATTTTGAACAGCAATAATTTTTCCTGTTATTTCCTGCCTCACTTCTCAATTTTTAAGGCACAAGAAAATGTCCTTTTATCCACAGTAGCTTCATTTCTTTGGTAAGAAGCATCATTATCAACACTTCAAAAATCTAAGTGTAGTGTTTCTGATTATCTCAAAAAAAAGAGCCAAAACAAGTCTACAGAAAGTCATCCATTCATCAGACTCTTTTTAACATGAAAAGGATATGACAACTGAGAGACTGAGACTTCAGCAACATTTTGCTTTTCCGTAAGGGAGAGCTTTCTTGCCTACCTTCCACAGAATATTTACACTCCAGCTTCTTGTATGTGCTGGTTCTTGCACATACCCACGACTGACCCAGACACTTAGAAAATTCTTGAATTAAGACCTGGATTCCTGTGAGTTCCAAGCAGCAGGATTTGTAAATGCTTAAAAAATGTGAACTTGTCTTTCCTGGCCACAAGCATATATTATGGGTCAGTGAATGTAGCTTTCCAGTCTCCCAGCAATAGGTGTCACTGCCCCTTTGGCTTCTGAAGCCACCAAGTCTTTAATGACTGCAGTCTAGAAAGCAGAGTAAGCTGCACAATGGTTTCCTGGTGATTTTTGGCCAATTTTACATTTTAAATGCCTTCCTGACTCGTACAAGAAAGCATCATTTTTTCATTGTCTGATTTTGCATTTGGACAAAGGCATGCCACTTGCTAACTGGGCTACTAAGAAAATTGATATTGATCTTGGCAACAAAAACCATGTTTGAGAATGATGCTGCCTTTGTGCATGTGTAAGCAATCCCATCTGGCCCAGTACACCTACATTGCAGACAAGGTTTGTAGTGCACATAAGGTAATTGGTGCAGCTGATGAGTTAGTAAATATAATACCTGAATGCATGAATGCAAATGGGTATTTTATAAAAAAATTTAGGATATGCTTCAATCTTAGAGAGAACTAGGAACCACTTCCTTTCTTTAGTACATAACATGTCACAGAAATTTGAAGCCATTCAGTTAAACTCCAAAGATGAGTTTTCATCTTCTAGCTACATAGCTTTGAAAACTGAAGTCTGCTTGTAGAACAG